CACCACTTGACCACTTGCCTGCACCACTTGACCACTTGCCAACCTTCTAGAAGGACTGCAGCTAGCCTTCTAGTCTATAGGTCTACGGATCGAATCCTGKCTACCTATAGACCTACAACRGACCTACCTACCACTGGCGGTTCTACAGGTCGCAGGTTCAACTCTTCGAGTTGACGCAGGTATTGTACACAGGTAAGTTGGGGAACTAGGGATCGAGCCCTGGGATCTACCTCAGCTACCACGAATTGGTGAATACCGTTTCACTGATCTTTCCAGGAAAAAAAAAGACCATGAAGTAAATGCCGCGCCGTTTCGTCACATTTTCCAGTTTTGCTACTCTACCATGTATGGTCCAACGGGAAAAGTAACCCAACTTTCGCGATTTTTTGCGGTCAGAAGGATGTGCGAGGATCTGGGTCCTCGGCAGGCCTAAGGGGCCCCTGCTGCAAATGTGCCCGCCCTAAGTGAAGGCGGCATGGCTACGATCCGGACCGCCGGACAGGGATCCGGACCGTCCGTGGTCCGGGGTCCGGGGTCCGGGTCTGGATCTCGGTCCGGATGTGTGGGCCCCAGCCCAACGGGCAAAATTTTTTTGGGTGGTCCAGGGTGTTTGTTCACGCCCTGGGCCGCCCCAAAAAAATGTTGCCTGATTTTTTATCCCCCTCGCCAATGATCCGGAAGGCCCGGAAAGTCTACGAGGGGGGGGTTGGTAACTTCGGTTTTGTTTCCTACCTGCGGCGCAAGTGTGCGGTGCACCCGAAGCAGTGCGGTGGTCACCGATGCGCATAAAAAAAAAAGAAAAAAAAGTAGTCACTGTTATGTGTGAGAACAAGAGAGAGAGAGAGAGAGAGAGAGAGAGAGAGCAAACAAATATCTCCTTATAATTTATTAGAAAACCCCTGCGGGTTATCCGCGCAAGGGCCTTCTCACCATGAGCTAAGTAATGCTCATAGCCATGCTAAGGTCATGGCACGCCAGGGTTGCATCGGCGCCGACCGCCGTCCCCGACCACCGACCGTTTTGTCCCGACCGATGGGGGCCGACCAGTCAGAAAACAGGCATCCGCTGCTTTTTTTTTTTTCCTGATTGCGCAGCCTTACTGCGTTTGCTGAGTACAGCCCAAATCCGCAGAGAAACTTTA